AGCATCTGGGCAGGCTGATGGCTTCCAAAGCCAGCATGTCCTCTTGCCATTCGCTCCAAGCCCTGCAGATGTCATCTGAAACTGGCTCGTCCCAGCTGAGACCGTCACGACAGAGATCTCGGAGCAGAAGCTTGCCGAGCAGAACGTATGGGGACACGAAACCAAGAGGATCGAAGATGGCGCTCACCACAGAGAGAATGCCTCTTCTGGTGACAGGTCTCTGCAGCGTCTTCGAGTCTCGACGGAGAGACTTCTGGCTGCTGACGTTGATGGCGAACGTATCATTCTTCGTGTTCCACTGGATACCCAGCACACTTTGCGTGGAGGGCTCCTCGGTCTTGCCTAGCTTTACTGATGACTGACAAGCAGCTTCATCACCGTCCTCCACCTGGGCGACCTTTCGGAGGACATCTGCCTTGTTCGAGGCAAACTTGTGCAGACGAAACCCCCTCTTCTCACATGCCGACTTCGCGCCGTCGATCAGGCGGACGGCGGCCGACTCGTCAGCGACAGACGTCAGACCGTCGTCGATATAGAAGTCCTGTTTGATAAACTCGGAGACCTCTTCATTGCAGTCCTCTGCGGCTGATCTCAGCGCGTACATCGCGCACGCTGGCGACGACCTGGCGCCGAACAGATGCGTGGTCATCCGGTACACCTTTGGCGTTCGTCGGACGTCTCCTGCCTCCCACCAGAGAAACCTCAGAAGGTCTCGGTCTTCGGTGTTCACAGACACCTGATTAAACATACCTTCCACGTCACATGAAACCGCCACTGGATCTCTTCTGAAACGGCACAGGATACCTGTCAAACTGTTAGTTAAATCGGGACCCTGAAGAAGGCACTTGTTCAGGCTGACACCCTGATACTCCGAGCTGCAATCGAACACTATTCTCAGCTTTTGCTTCCGGGGATGGTACACCCCGTGGTGAGCAAGGTACCAGGTTCTCCCTTCCGGTCCATGATGATTTTCAACTGGCTCGGCATACCCCTTCTTCAGCATCGTTTCCATGAACTCAATATAGTCGTCGCGGTACTTTCCACCCTTCAACAGCCTGGACTTGAGGCTCTTGAGGCGTTGCTCAGCTGCTTCTCTGTTGTTAGGGAAAGTAGACCCGCGCTTAAGAGGTAGCGGCATTTGGACGTGTCCGTCTTCTTTTCTGCGAAAGCCAGAGCTCACTTTGCTGAGGAACTCCCTGTCCTCCACTGAAGAGCCCATGCTCGACTTGTCTCGGGTTTCTTCGAAGTCCTTTTCAAGTACTCTGATGAGATCGAGAGGGCTCTCACGAATCTTCGTCCTGAATGAAAAGTGACAGATTCTCTTGCGACCGTCTCCCGTGTCCACGTAGCGACACATGCTGGAGCTCTCCTCTGTCGAACCGACGATTCCCCAGCCCAGTGCCGTCCGTACAGCCCAGGGCTCGTCGACCTCCCCTGGCCGCACTTCCTGAGGTTTGATGGCTCTCGGACAGGACGTGCCGAGCAGAAGGCCGATCTCAGCTGACTCATAGTAGTCTGGGATCTGGTCGGAGATGTCCACCATGTGCCTCCACTCGAGCGCTGTCTCCCTCCGGGGGATTGATGACCTGGAGCACGGGATGCCCTCCCTTGTGTAGCAGGTGGGCAGACGAATCTCTTCAGAGGCCTCTTCGGAGTTCAGAGGCTGGATGACCAGGTCTTCAACTGCTTCACTGTCGATCGTGGTTTGTCCCGCGATGGTGCTGAGATCCAGTCTGGTCTTCCTTCCTCTAGCACCCACTGCTGCGCGGGCAGACTTAGTGACGAAGCAGGCGTCAGATTGGGCATCAAGCAGCGCGTACACAACCACCTTGCGTCCGGGCTGCTTCCTGTTGCTTAGCAGCACGGGTACGACCAGGCAGTGGCAAGAGTTGCTCACCGATTGCAGACAGGTAGCCGCTCCTCCGACTGCCTCATGCGCTGCTGCTGCCGCGATTTCCGGGTCATGCAGGAGAGTTGGATGCTGTCTGCCACATGTGGCGCACTGGGCCTTGCGGAGACAGTGTCGCCACAGGTGCCCCTTCTTCAGACAGCCTCTGCAGAGATGCAGTTCTGCAACCATCCTTCTTCTGTCAGGCAGCGACATATTCATCACCTGCGGGCAGGAGGTCAGCACATGGTTTCCTTGACATTTCAAACACTTCTTTACATGTGACTGCTCGGTAGAAGCTGTGAACGTTCGGGCTTCACTCGGTGTCTTCTTTGGTTGTCTTCTGTTTGTGCTCTCCCTTGTCCCGTGACTCAGCCTGTCTGAATACTCTGTTGTGACACCGCTCCCTACTGGTCCACATGCGATTCTTGCCTCCACAGAGACGAACCGGACAAACTCTGAAAATGGAGGGTACTTGCTGCCTTCTCTGGACTTGTTCCCGTACAACCAGTCGTCCACGATCCTCTTCCAGCTGTCCACTAGATGTTTTGGCAGCTTCTTCAACATCACTTCATTTTCCATGTGGTCGTCCAGAACTGCCAGGTTCCTCATAGAGCTTGAAGCTGCTGCCAAACAGTGTTCAAGATGGTCAGCGAAGTCTCGGAGGCCACGACCATCTCCCGCCTTGATGTTTGGCCACTCCCTGATCTTGTTCCGATAGGCGTTGGCGACAATGAAGTCATTCCCGAAGCGGTCTATCAGCTTCTCCTTCGCCAGCTTGTACCCTTCTTCTGTTCTGAGATGCAGCAGGCCACTGATGGCTCTCTTCGCTTCACCACCAGTGTACTTGGCCAGGAAGTGGAGGCGCTGAATTGAAGATTCTGTCTTGCTCTCGATGTGAGTTTCGAAGGAGCTGAGCCATAGGTTGAAGCGTGCAACATCACCTTTGAACACCTCAGGTTCCAGAGTGGGGAGATCAGCAGTCTTCTTCTGGTTCATTAGTAACTTGATCATCTGTGCTGCAGTTGTCTCCCCATCGCCTGTCTTCTCAGCTTGAGCAGGTACTTCTTCATGATCTGTTCCTGGGCGTCCTGCAACATCAACAGCTTCAACTGCTGGAGCTTCAGCTTCACCTTCTGCAGCACACAGAACCTTGATCCTGGCTTCACTCATCTTCCTTTCAATTTCTCGATCAAGTATTTCTTGTTCTTGTGCCATCACCTTTTCCATCTCCTCCTTTCTCCTTTGCAGCTCCAGCTGCCTGGCAGCCATTGATGCTTGAACTTCCTTCTCTGCCTTCAGCTTCATTTCCTCCACCTTCATCAAGAACAGTTTGTCTCTTACTGCTTGTGAGTTACTGCTGCACTGGGATCCACATTCCGAGTGACTTCGGCGGAGTGCTTGAGCAGGATGAGCTGTCAGGTAGTCCTCAATCTGGGCCTTCCAAGTGTTGAGCTGACCAAGCAGACTCTGGTGCTCCACCTGCAGTTCGTCTTTCTCCTCCTGTTCCAACAGGGAGCACAGAACCTCGTATGTCTGGACCAAATCCACATACTGATGTTTCCATGCATCAAACTCTGCTTGAATGAATGACCTGTCTCCTTGTGGGATAGCCTCAACGATCACTGGTCCTGTCGAGACTAGCTGTGACGTCAGACCTTTGTACGTCTTCCTCTTAACCTCCACTTGATACTGTGCTCCTTTCTCAGTAGGTTGGAGAGGCCTTCCTTTACTTGACTTCATTTGGTGGTCCATTGTGACTCAGTTCAGGTTGGGAGCAGATTAGGCAGAAAATGGGATGGAGGAATGGAGTGCCCAAGTTAGTAACTACTCCTAAAGTGGTCAGTATTGGTACTTCTAGCTCTATGGGAATGAGGTAAGTACAATCTGATCACATGTTAGTCTAGCACTCATTGTGAAGCCCAAGCAAAACAACAGAAAATGATAACTGCACAATGTCTTGATGACAACCGAAATGAAATGATCATCTGGCCCGCAACTACATTGAAAACCCTCAGGGCCTTGTCTCAAATTGAGGGCAACAAAATCAGCAGATCTCTAAAGTAGGTACCTGAGCTCTCACCAATCAATGTTCATGAACAGAACATGTTGGCATTTCAGTTAAAAGTGGTAAATAAATCACAACATATGAAGGCACAATAATTAAAATCAATTCCGTCTACCAATCTGTCTTCACTACTGTCAACTCTGCCATTACGACTGGCAAACAAAAAACAACTGTTATTTACTGACAACTATCACTCCCGGTTTACCCTCAACCAGTACTGCGGCTTACCCGCAACTATTACTGTAACAGCTACTGTTAGACTACAATCCGCCTTTTCTCTCCTGTGCTGTATTATGCCGTAATACTGAAAAAGACCATAAACATAATAAATAACCGAACCAAAGATATCACACGATAACATACAATGAACAATCACACCATTTCCACATTTCATTTCACTTTTAACTTACGTTGTAGCGGGACGCCCGCAGCGCATAGTCTGAAGAGCCGGGGTAGTGCCACGCGGTGGGTACAAACTATACAAACACGCGCCACATTCGAAGGCATTGGTTGGCATGTTGAGACTACGAAATAATTCGACGCTGCCTCCAGCCAACAGCTGTCCGAGGCAAGGACCAGCAATGCTAGCGCCACCTAACAACGCTACCACTGCCATCTGGTGGTCACTTTCCCTTTCAAGCGGGCGGCCGTACACTTTCACTTTCGGCTACCCGCGGTCACACGGAGTGTAGCCGTAACCAGACACCACCGACTGCCCCGAGTGTAGCCCTGACCAGACACCACCGACTGCCCCGAGTGTAGCCCTGATCAGACACCACCGACTGCCCGGAGTGTAGCCCTGACCAGACACCACCGACTGCCCCGAGTGTAGCCCTGACCAGACACCACCGACTGCCCCGAGTGTAGCCCTGACCAGACACCACCGACTGCCCGGAGTGTAGCCCTGACCAGACACCACCGACTGCCCCGAGTGTAGCCCTGACCAGACACCACCGACTGCCCCGAGTGTAGCCCTGACCAGAGCCCTGCCCGGAGCCGCTCGGCGAGTGTAATGACTGGCTGTGCCGTTGCGCTGGCTGTCAGGTTGGTACGGAGCCGTGGCCGACCGAGCCGGAGGTGGCGGCTGCTGAGCAGCGCCAGTCGACCGAGGACTTGTCTGAGGTGCGTCCGATGCCACCCATCCTTCATCTCAGCCAGTACGGCCTCAGCAGAGGCGCCGTGGCGCCACCCAGCCGGCATCTGCACAGCCAGCACGGTTACGGTTAGTGGTGTCAATCGGGCTACTAATATTTCGATGTACCGATACCGAACCAATACCGATTCGGTATATGGTATTTCATACAAAAACTCGTGGTTTTTCCTGGCATTATGGAAGCCCACTGAGATGTAATAAACTTAACCCGCGCCCCGTAGGGCTATCGACGGACCCTACCACCCGTAGGGGAGGGGCCGTTTCGGCCCCCCCCCTAAGATCTCGGAAATTTACCGGCCGATTTTCAAAATTCAAACGGTGTTTGATAGCCCCACCGGGGAACTACCTTGTGACTAAATTTCATTGACCTAGGTCAAACCGATGACGTCACAGGTCAGGTCAAAGGTCGGATTTTAACCGTTCACAGGTATTTCAAGAAATGTGTTGTGAAATCGAGTAAATTGGTAATTTATTGAAAACCATCGATGGTACATTGTTCGTCAAACACATACTTTACTATCTGAGGTCATTGATACCAGGTCAGGTCACAGCGAGGTCAGGTCACCGGGGGTCACAACATGAAAGTGTCGTGTGATACATGTTTTATGGTCCATTTTACATGACAAATGCGATTATGTGGGTTAGGCAGTCTTTGGGGCCAGCCTGGGTCACATTTTGGTGAAGGTCAGGTCAAGGTCAGGTCAAATTAGGTCAAATTTCAAAGTTGATATTTTTGCATAAAATGGGTATCGATTCGATGCAGCTCGTCACGGGGAGTCTAATGGTGGTCTTTGTTCTGCTCTACGAGGTCTAGAATTGCCAAAATTGAGTTTGAAAATTTGACGTCATCATTTTCTTCTTAAGTTCGGTAGATCCTCAGTTTGGCATGGCCATTGGAGCCCGGTATTCGGTAAAGGCCCTTCCTTGACTGGTACGGACCCTCAGAGGCTTGATATGGGCCTGTTTATACTACTAGGGGGCTTCTGTCGCCTGGTCGGACCCTCTCAGACATTCTAAGGACCTTACCAGACCTTTTAATGGCCCTCTCAGCACTGTTGTTGCCCCTCTAATGACTGGTATGGACCCTCTCAGGCATGATACGGGCCCTCCAAGTTCTTGCAAGGGCCCTCTCAGTACAGCTGCAGGTCCTCGCATGAGTGGTATGGGCCCTCTCAGGTATGGTACGGGCCCTCCTAGTCATTGCAACAGTCCTCTTAGTACTGCTGGGGTCCTTCCATGATTGCCATTGACTGACATAACCCTCAGTAATATGTCAGGGTACGGGCCCTCACATAACTTGTGGTGGCCCCTCAGTTCTGTTATGGGCCCTGCTGTGGGCCCTCTCGGTACTGATATGGGCCGTGTCACGCATGGGTGAAACTTTGACATCACCATTGGGGTCCCAAACGTCCAAAGGGGCCTCCATTCGATGGGGGCCTCCAAGCAACTAGGGGCCTCCAATGGCGGAAGCGCTAATTTACGAACCATGCCAAACCAAAACATGAAAAGATGACCGAGCTACAGAAGCCCAATTTACTGGGGCGTACGTTTGTTTGCATATCACATGAAAGCTCAAATCAAGACAAACAAGAAGCCTATCTGACGTTTTTACGTATTTCTAACGGCTTAGACTCTATCAAGTATATGCAGAGCACTGCACTACTGTTAACGCCAGACCCCTTGAGACCCTAATTTTTCGCGATTATTTTTAAATGCGTGCAAGAATTTCAACCAGGCTCAGGACATGGCCGTTTCAAGACCTGCCGAAACTTTTACAATTTAGATATTTTGTCGCCATTTCAATATTTCAGGCACTTCTCATTGACTCGTAATGTCAATGACGCGCGGCCCCGGCTTGGGTCAGCGCACGCTGCCCCGACTCGGCTACCTCACGTTACCGGGGCCCTGGCTTTGGGCGCGGTCTACCGCACCACCTAACAGGCGTGTTCGAAACCGCAGGAGATGATGATGAACGGGTTTATCGAAACTTGATTGGATGAGCCTATCGGTAATAGCGATTTCAGTGTGTGCGTTTATTGTTCGTAGTGGTGGTGTGAAATGTGGTTGGGGTACGACCGACAACCCGTCGGGGCGAATTATTTCGCACTGGGGTACTCAAAATTTGAAGAATTTAAGACGTTTCCATGAGTTTTGAAGGTATGGATAAGTTCTAAAAATCCGGTTCTCCTTATCTGGGCCATTAACTCCATACGGTCCAGGAAAGCTGGCACACTACCTTTAACAGTAGCTCACTTTTCCGCCGTCGATGCCATTACAAGTTGATTACAAGTGCCTAGTCGGTCACAGGTCTCACACAACACGTTACGGAGAGATGTATGAGAGATAGGGGAGATCCGGTTATGGTTAACCTGTGGAAAACGAATCTAGCAAAGTATAATTATAAACATGCATGATACAGACGCATACAAACGATGCCTATAACATTATTGCTTTGTGTGGTTTAATAATTGAAGCGATTGACCAATCGGCTGAGCTATGTGCAATTTTCAAAGTCAAAAGAGAGACGTACAAAAATATTTCTCGGATTGTCGCATGTGTTTTCCGTGAGCGTGTCATGGACTCACCCGCTCACGGAAATACTTCACCCAGAGTGGCGGAAGTAGATGCGATAATGCGATTTGACCAGACACTGCTCAGATTCTTGGCTTTTAGTCCTACAACTTACAGCTACCGACTTTTATTCAAAACGGCCGACGGCCAACCAGCAAATGACAGCACCAGAGGTACGGAGGCCATATTTATTTGCGAGCACATTCGTAGCCTCGCTTTTCATTAATCATTTAATGATGTAATTCAGAGCAATATTGGTACTTTGTAGGAAACCAAGATACCAATGTAGCAAAGCATAACGGCAGACTGGCAAATTGCAAAACATCAGTTTTCATAAACAACATGCAAAAGAGGCTTGGCAGGTGAGCAGGCCCTGTAGACCTGTACCCCTAGCTCTACGCAACAGAGATGAGTCGGCCCACACGCATCATCGCAGCTGACAGCCTAAGCCCTAAGATATTTGAATATCCGGGAGCCTAATTTCGCAGAACTTGGCAGATGATGTTCTTATCCGCGACACTTAGCAGTGACCAAACACGTGACGGCGGGAAGGACACTGCTGGATGAACTCTCGGATCAGTTTAGTGCGGTCCAGTGACATCACCCTCTCTGGATAAGTGGCGAGCACTGCGCTGTGATTCAGCCTTTCTTGGCTGAGGGTGGAGCGAAGCCAGGACTTGAGACGCCGCAGCAAACTGAAGCTGCGCTCCGCCGTGCATGATGTGGCAGGAGCTGTCAGAAGCAGCCTCGTTAGCGTAGCCACTTCGTCCAACAGCGCTCGCAGTTCTCCCTCTCCACTGGTGAGCTGCTTCACGACATCCTGCAGATTTTTAAGAGGTATGGAGGTTCCGTGAGATTTGCAGATGTCATGCAGCATCTGAACTTGCAAGCGAAGCCGGTCAGCGTTCATCTGGTAGAAGCCCGCTGTTTGGTCTATCGCATCTGCGTCACCGGTGATAAGGGCCCGCTCGCCAGTGGCCAGTACCAGCTCGTCAGAGCGGACGTTATCGCTGTAACGACAGTGGAGTGCCCGGTCGAGTTGGTCAATCGCCTCCAGGAAAACGCGCCTGTACCGCTCTTCAGGGCTGGTCGGATGCGCAGGTTCGGCACCGTCGTCCAGCCGGCGAGGTGGCCGCGCTTGGCGTTTCAGTTTGGGCTCGTCGATGTCCAGCCCGGCTGCGAGATCGACCGTCTCCGACCAGAAAACAGCGTGCCGATCTCGCTGTTCCGCCACTGCCTCGGAGAGCCTCTCAATCAGAGCCATGTTCTTGGCGATGGAGTTTGACTTGCCTTGCACAGCTCGCATGACAGGCGTAGTCATATGCAGAATGTGCAGAGAGAGTCGCAAACCGTAGTAGAACGAGAAGTTTTCCATTAACCTGGCGAAGCCGTTGGCCTTGCTCCTAACATCTGGTTTTACCGTCTTGTCGGCGGCGACGCTCCTCAGCGTCTCTCGCAGTGGATGGTAGTTCTTCATGATGGAGGTGATCGACGACTCACTGCATGTCCAGCGCGTCGGGCAGAGCGGACGCAGTGAGCTCTGCGATCCCATGCTGACCATGTGCGATAGTCGCTTGGGCGAGTCGCGGATGAACGTGATCAGTTGACCAGCCTCGTGTATGGCGTCACGAAGCTCATCGATGCCGTCCAGGCAACCTTTGACGACCAGGTTGAGTCTGTGTGCTGTGCAGTGAATGTACACCGCTCTCGGCTCCACTGCCTTCACTCGCGCTTGCACCCCTGCGAAACGAGCCGAAAGGCTATTACTGAAAGGCTGTGGTTCATTTTCACCTGAAGCTCAAACCGATTCGACTAGTTATTTGGACTGAATTAAAATGTCATACCAGTAAAACGCCTTTTGGGCGAAGAACGAGCGAGCGAGATAGTGAGCCCTGCACGCGGAAGGGCGATAGGGTACTTCCAACGGGCTTAAAGCACCATTCTAACCAATACACTTGTCATATTCTTACAGAACCTTGCTAGAAACAGTTAAACCTCAAAGTGTATTTGCTTAAACGCAGCGATATCGCTGCGTTTATGCATGACTTTATCGAAGTGTTCACTTTCTGTCCTGATCTAACACCTTCAAAGGGCAGCTCCGCTCATTAAAATCAAGTACAGATAAAATAATTATGTTGTTTCCAATCGCCAATGACAAGTACAAGTGTTAAAATATAAAGAAAGTTTTTCGTAACGCTTTCAACACCATGACCTATTCATTTTTTCCCTCCCTCCCTCTCTCTCTCTCTCTCTCTCTCTCTCTCTCTCTCTCTCTGTCTCTGTCTCTGTCTCTGTCTCTGTCTCTGAAATATCGGTTTATGTAATAGGTCTGTGTAAATAGCATGTATAATAGTCTGATGTATGAAATAGCCGTCTCACCGCGAAACTCTCCCGCCATGTTGCTCGCTCCATCGTAGCATTGCCCACGCAGAGCAGTGGCCTTCAACTGGAGTCGCTGTAGCGCATCGAGGATGAGGTGTGCAAGTCTCTCGCCGGTAGTCACGTCAGTCTGATAAAGACCGACGAAAACCTCCTTCACTTCGAACACCTCGGTCACGTATCGAAGACAAATGGACATCTGCTCCTGCTGTGTGATGTCGGTGGTTTCATCCACGATGATGGCGTAAACACCAGATTCGGCCACCTCCGCACACACTTCACGGAGGACAGCGTGAGCCAGCTGTCGTTGCATCTGTCGCTGGATTTCTGGCGACAAGAACGTCTGTTGACCTTGCTCCTGGCGTTTCAGCCACTTGGCGAGGTCTGCGCTCTCCAATGCCATGGTTCGCAGTGTCATTCGCAGGTTTCCCAACTCTTCGTCATGTCGACGCAGGGGGAGTCCCTGTGCTGACAGAAGAATTATCGCATTAAAGATGTGACGAAGGGCGACACGGTTTTCTTCTTGTTGCCTGGCCCTGCCCGTTGAAATGAGGAGCGCTGTGGAGCTTCGGGAGCTGGTTTGTATTAGCCTTTTTGTAGCATTTACATGGCAGCTCGAGCTCTCGTGCCGAGCGAACTTCTTTGTGGCTACTCTACATGTGTCGAAGCCTCGCGAAATGAAAGCATTGTCGCACTTCTTCATGTCTCCCAGAAGACCGCGCTGGCTCGCCTCTGAGCAGACGGAGCACGTGACGGAACGTTGTGCCTTATCGTACCGCAGCCACTTGTGTCTTTTCTTCCAGCGTGGTTTAAAGGAGCCGGACTTCAGGGCTGGGTTCTTGGCCGGGAAGGAGTCTGAAGGGAAGAGGAATGCAACATATGATGTGGATTGTGGAACAAATCAGTCAAGGATGGAATACTCCGTTCTGACGCAAATGGTAACTCAATCAACTGTTCAGATAGGAGAAAATATTTTGTGTGCTAGGAAATAATTGTTCGAATTAATGTTAATTAATTATTTTCCTCTGACTCGTGTTCGGGATACTAGAGTCGGCTATCAGTTATCACGTATAACGGTACAGCTGTAGGTACTCAAGCAGCCGTTTGTGAATTGTCACGGTAGCGGACAGGTAAGCGGCACAGGTAGCCCCCAGATTTCCATTATACTGACCGTCCGTGGAGTCCCCGTCATCGATCTCGACGGCTGCGCCACTCGGCGGCCTCTGGACACCGGCCGCGGGGACTGATGGACCCGGCTGTCGGGTGGCAGCGGCCGACCCCGAACAGGACGGGAGAGGATCTGCCAGGGGAGTCGGCTATCAGTAATCACGTATAACGGTACAGCTGTAGGTACTCAAGCAGCCGTTTGTGAATTGTCACGGTAGCGGACAGGTAAGCGGCACAGGTAGCCCCCAGATTTCCATTATACTGACCGTCCGTGGAGTCCCCGTCATCGATCTCGACGGCTGCGCCACTCGGCGGCCTCTGGACACCGGCCGCGGGGACTGATGGACCCGGCTGTCGGGTGGCAGCGGCCGACCCCGAACAGGACGGGAGAGGATCTGCCAGGGGAGTCGGCTATCAGTAATCACGTATAACGGTACAGCTGTACTCAAGCAGCCGTTTGTGAATTGTCACGGTAGGGGACAGGTAAGCGGCACAGGTAGCCCCCAGATTTCCATTATACTGACCGTCCGTGGAGTCCCCGTCATCGATCTCGACGGCTGCGCCACTCGGCGGCCTCTGGACACCGGCCGCGGGGACTGATGGACCCGGCTGTCGGGTGGCAGCGGCCGACCCCGAACAGGACGGGAGAGGATCTGCCAGGGGAGTCGGCTATCAGTAATCACGTATAACGGTACAGCTGTAGGTACTCAAGCAGCCGTTTGTGAATTGTCACGGTAGCGGACAGGTAAGCGGCACAGGTAGCCCCCAGATTTCCATTATACTGACCGTCCGTGGAGTCCCCGTCATCGATCTCGACGGCTGCGCCACTCGGCGGCCTCTGGACACCGGCCGCGGGGACTGATGGACCCGGCTGTCGGGTGGCAGCGGCCGACCCCGAACAGGACGGGAGAGGATCTGCCAGGGAGAGTCGGCTATCAGTAATCACGTATAACGGTACAGCTGTAGGTACTCAAGCAGCCGTTTGTGAATTGTCACGGTAGCGGACAGGTAAGCGGCACAGGTAGCCCCCAGATTTCCATTATACTGACCGTCCGTGGAGTCCCCGTCATCGATCTCGACGGCTGCGCCACTCGGCGGCCTCTGGACACCGGCCGCGGGGACTGACGGACCCGGCTGTCGGGTGGCAGCGGCCGACCCCGAACAGGACGGGAGAGGATCTGCCAGGGAGAGTCGGCTTTGACCCCGAACAGGACGGGAGAGGATCTGCCAGGGAGAGTCGGCTATCAGTAATCACGTATAACGGTACAGCTGTACTCAAGCAGCCGTTTGTGAATTGTCACGGTAGCGGACAGGTAAGCGGCACAGGTAGCCCCCAGATTTCCATTATACTGACCGTCCGTGGAGTCCCCGTCATCGATCTCGACGGCTGCGCCACTCGGCGGCCTCTGGACACCGGCCGCGGGGACTGATGGACCCGGCTGTCGGGTGGCAGCGGCCGACCCCGAACAGGACGGGAGAGGATCTGCCAGGGAGAGTCGGCTATCAGTAATCACGTATAACGGTACAGCTGTACTCAAGCAGCCGTTTGTGAATTGTCACGGTAGCGGACAGGTAAGTGGCACAGGTAGCCCCCAGATTTTCATTATACTGACCGTCCGTGGAGTCCCCGTCATCGATCTCGACGGCTGCGCCACTCGGCGGCCTCTGGACACCGGCCGCGGGGACTGATGGACCCGGCTGTCGGGTGGCAGCGGCCGACCCCGAACAGGACGGGAGAGGATCTGCCAGGGGAGTCGGCTATCAGTAATCACGTATAACGGTACAGCTGTACTCAAGCAGCCGTTTGTGAATTGTCACGGTAGCGGACAGGTAAGCGGCACAGGTAGCCCCCAGATTTCCATTATACTGACCGTCCGTGGAGTCCCCGTCATCGATCTCGACGGCTGCGCCACTCGGCGGCCTCTGGACACCGGCCGCGGGGACTGACGGACCCGGCTGTCGGGTGGCAGCGGCCGACCCCGAACAGGACGGGAGAGGATCTGCCAGCGAGAGTCGGCTTTGACCCCGAACAGGACGGGAGAGGATCTGCCAGGGAGAGTCGGCTATCAGTAATCACGTATAACGGTACAGCTGTACTCAAGCAGCCGTTTGTGAATTGTCACGGTAGCGGACAGGTAAGCGGCACAGGTAGCCCCCAGATTTCCATTATACTGACCGTCCGTGGAGTCCCCGTCATCGATCTCGACGGCTGCGCCACTCGGCGGCCTCTGGACACCGGCCGCGGGGACTGACGGACCCGGCTGTCGGGTGGCAGCGGCCGACCCCGAACAGGACGGGAGAGGATCTGCCAGGGAGAGTCGGCTATCAGTAATCACGTATAACGGTACAGCTGTAGGTACTCAAGCAGCCGTTTGTGAATTGTCACGGTAGCGGACAGGTAAGCGGCACAGGTAGCCCCCAGATTTCCATTATACTGACCGTCCGTGGAGTCCCCGTCATCGATCTCGACGGCTGCGCCACTCGGCGGCCTCTGGACACCGGCCGCGGGGACTGATGGACCCGGCTGTCGGGTGGCAGCGGCCGACCCCGAACAGGACGGGAGAGGATCTGCCAGGGGAGTCGGCTATCAGTAATCACGTATAACGGTACAGCTGTACTCAAGCAGCCGTTTGTGAATTGTCACGGTAGCGGACAGGTAAGCGGCACAGGTAGCCCCCAGATTTCCATTATACTGACCGTCCGTGGAGTCCCCGTCATCGATCTCGACGGCTGCGCCACTCGGCGGCCTCTGGACACCGGCCGCGGGGACTGATGGACCCGGCTGTCGGGTGGCAGCGGCCGACCCCGAACAGGACGGGAGAGGATCTGCCAGGGAGAGTCGGCTATCAGTAATCACGTATAACGGTACAGCTGTACTCAAGCAGCCGTTTGTGAATTGTCACGGTAGCGGACAGGTAAGCGGCACAGGTAGCCCCCAGATTTCCATTATACTGACCGTCCGTGGAGTCCCCGTCATCGATCTCGACGGCTGCGCCACTCGGCGGCCTCTGGACACCGGCCGCGGGGACTGACGGACCCGGCTGTCGGGTGGCAGCGGCCGACCCCGAACAGGACGGGAGAGGATCTGCCAGGGAGAGTCGGCTATCAGTAATCACGTATAACGGTACAGCTGTAGGTACTCAAGCAGCCGTTTGTGAATTGTCACGGTAGCGGACAGGTAAGCGGCACAGGTAGCCCCCAGATTTCCATTATACTGACCGTCCGTGGAGTCCCCGTCATCGATCTCGACGGCTGCGCCACTCGGCGGCCTCTGGACACCGGCCGCGGGGACTGATGGACCCGGCTGTCGGGTGGCAGCGGCCGACCCCGAACAGGACGGGAGAGGATCTGCCAGGGGAGTCGGCTATCAGTAATCACGTATAACGGTACAGCTGTAGGTACTCAAGCAGCCGTTTGTGAATTGTCACGGTAGGGGACAGGTAAGCGGCACAGGTAGCCCCCAGATTTCCATTATACTGACCGTCCGTGGAGTCCCCGTCATCGATCTCGACGGCTGCGCCACTCGGCGGCCTCTGGACACCGGCCGCGGGGACTGACGGACCCGGCTGTCGGGTGGCAGCGGCCGACCCCGAACAGGACGGGAGAGGATCTGCCAGGGAGAGTCGGCTATCAGTAATCACGTATAACGGTACAGCTGTAGGTACTCAAGCAGCCGTTTGTGAATTGTCACGGTAGCGGACAGGTAAGCGGCACAGGTAGCCCCCAGATTTCCATTATACTGACCGTCCGTGGAGTCCCCGTCATCGATCTCGACGGCTGCGCCACTCGGCGGCCTCTGGACACCGGCCGCGGGGACTGATGGACCCGGCTGTCGGGTGGCAGCGGCCGACCCCGAACAGGACGGGAGAGGATCTGCCAGGGGAGTCGGCTATCAGTAATCACGTATAACGGTACAGCTGTAGGTACTCAAGCAGCCGTTTGTGAATTGTCACGGTAGCGGACAGGTAAGCGGCACAAGTAGCCCCCAGATTTCCATTATACTGACCGTCATCGATCTCGACGGCTGCGCCACTCGTAGCCCCCACCTCATTCAGTCCGTTGAAATAGCTGCCTTTGACGGATAGCTAGAACAATACAATCGGCGATATTCATTAACATACTGACCGTTAACGGCACGTTTCCCAAAAGCAAAACAGTCCAGCTTTTTGTATTTTCTAGCTTCATCAGCTATCTCTTTTTGCCGTTTCCTCTTTCGCTTTTGTGAGCCACTAGCGTTTTTCCACATTGCTGGCTCAAGATGCCACCTGCGGATCAAATTAAGGGGCATAGTGAACGGTAAAGGGCACAGGCAACCAAGGCGAATCACTGGCGAATC